ACAGCAAGACTCTGTCTCAAAAAAAAAAAAAAAAAAAATTAACACACTCGTCAGACAATAGAAAGGTCTCCGCTGTAAGCACAGATTCCGACCCATTTCTGGGAATGAGGAAGTTAACAGAAGAGTGTGTCTGTGAGGCGGACTGGAAGGCCCATTGGGAACATTCCAGAGTGTTCCAGCGAGAGACCAGGGAGCCAGAGGAGCTCAGCTCAGACGTCACGGGCACAATGGACCGGGAGTGAGGAAGACACTGAGGTCGGGGTTTGTTCCCAGCTGGAAGAACTGGCCCCAGGACCACCCAGACAGACACACCCCCCAACCCCCCTACAGCCAGAGGAAGGTCAGGAGGCCCTTCCCTAAACATGTTTTTGAGAATCGGGGTAGCTATTTTAAAAAACGCTGCTGGGCGCGGTGGCAGTTACTTTAAAAGTAGCTGCTGTGGACCCAGCTACTTGGGAGGCTGAGGTGGGAGGATCGCTTGAGCCTGGGAGTTGGAGTCCAGCCTGGGCAGCATCGCAAGACCCCATTTCATTAAAAAAAAAAATGCTCATGCTTGCATTCTGGCTTCAAGGGCTCCTGGTAACCGGGCGTCTCTGGAGCTTGGCCCACACAAAGCCTGGGGTCGAGAGCCCGCTCACACGTACGGCACTGCCCACCTTGCTGTCGCTTTATTTTTAAATATGAAATTCGAGGTGACAAAGATTACCAGCTGCCGAGGGAAGTCTGCAAACGCAACAAAAGGTCCAGATGAACAATGGGAGACGCGCCTGCATTCCACTGGGTAAACCACAGAAGAGAACAGAATGCAGCGGACTCCAAGCAGCTCGGTGCCCTGATGGGAGCGGGGCAGGACAGGACACAGCAAAGCCTGGAAACCGCCCTCCGGAGACCCACACGCACAACCCCTGAGAAAACACTAAAGAACCGTGCTGGGAGACAAAACAGAGGAAATGGAGTGTACGGAATAAGCATGAGGAAACCCAGGACAGGAGGCAAAAAGGAAACTCAAACAGTCCAACCCCTGCCCGAAACCCTCGCCAGACGGAGCTCAGAAAGGAGGGGAGAAGGAATACCGGCGACTGGAAATTCCCTGGACTGGAGGCAGAGGGACAGCCCCAGGGAGTGAAAAATATGAAGTCACGGCGTTCCGGGGGACGAGGGGTTGCCCACACAGCGCCGGGCGCGATGTGGCTCCCATCAACCAAGCATGCACAGACGGACGGTGGCGCGGTCACCTCCTGAGGGAAAAAGGTTTACCACCCAAAGTGCACATTCAGCAAAACTACTGATCCGTGATGAGGGCAGAATAAAGACACGGACGGGAGGACTGGGGAGTGAATTCCCGCAGACCCACAGTGAGGGGATGGTTGCAGGGCCCACGAATGGAACAGGGCCTAGTCTGCTTTGCACTGCTCCAGAGGAGTCCCCGAGGCTGGGTGATCTATAAAGAAAAGGGGTGGGTTTGGCTCATGGTTGTGGAGGCTGTACAGAAAGCGGGAGCCGTGGCACCAGCATCTGCCTCTGGTGAGGACCCCAGGGAGCCTCCCATCACGGCAGAAGGGGAGGGAGCAGGTGTCACAGGAAGGATGGCCTGGAGTGTGATTGTGCATGTCCTTGGTGCTTGAACAAACAAGTAGTAGACAAAACATACAAAGTAAGAACAAAACACAGGAAGGAAGCCGCGAAAGCAGGGAGTTATTAAAGCCAGAAAGCTCGGAGTCGGGTGGGAGCGGGCGCTGTTACAAAGTTTTCTGGTTTTTTTTTTTTTTTTTTGAGAGGGAATCTCACACCGTCGCCTGTCGCCTGGGCTGGAGTCCACTGGCGCGGTCTCGGCTCACTGCAACCTCCGCCTCCCAGGGTCAAGCAATTCTCCAGCCTCAGCCTCCCGAGTAGCTGGGATGACAGGCACCTGCCACCACACCTGGCTAATTTTTGTGTTTTTAGTAGAGATGGGGTTTCTCCGTGTTGGCCAGGCTGGTTTTAAACTCCCGGCCTCAGGTGATCCGCCCACCCCACCCTCCCAAAGTGCTGGGATGACAGGTGTGAGCCACCACACCCGGCCAGTTTTCTGGGTCTTAAGTCCACCTTTCATGATTCCTATCCCCCTTATCTGGATGAAAGATTTGGTCCATGGCTAATCAAAGCTGCGGGGAACTGGTGTCTGCAGGTGAAAGGATGGCCCACAGCCAGTCCACAGCACTTTCCTTGCCGTCTGGGACATGGTGGGGGTTGGGGGCTGTAGGGAGAGCAGCCTTTGATCCTTTGTTACTGGGCGTGGGGCTTTTCCTTATGGTGCAGTTTTTGGAAGTTGATTGTTAATTGGCCCTGGGTTCCCTGCCCCAGAGCTCCGTGTTTTTCCTGGATCCGCCGTGCATTGGCCTCGGACTCTCGCCCCCCTGACCTTGGTGTCTTCTCTCTCAGGAAGTCAGCACAAATTAGCGTCCCATTCCCTGCCCCAGGCCTCGCTGTTTTTCCTTGATTCCGCACGAATTGGCCTAAGTTCGCTACCCCCAGAGCCTATTCTCCTGTTCACAGTCATCACCGGCGGCGAGGGAGCCAGAGAGTGACGGGGGAGGTGCCAGGCTGGTTTTAACAGTTCTCTTCCGAACTCACTCATTACCTCCAGAACTGCACCAAGCCATTGACGAGGGGCCCGTCCCCATGACCCCAAACCCCCCAACACTGGGGTCCAGTGTCCACGTGAGATTTGGACAAGCGTTCAAACTCCACCAGGACTGTAAACCAAACAAAGGGGGGAGACCTTCCGTGCAGACGTTAAGTAGGCACGGAGATTCCAAGCTGGGAGCAGCAGGTTGGACGAGGGAGGCTCTGGGGGCAGCGAGGGAGGTTGCAGAGTCCAGACTTGGAAGATGGAAGATAAGAGCACCCCGTGTAGGGCAGGAGAAGAAGGGCAACTGGAAACTCCGGGACAGACTGTAAAACCCCATGGGAAAGACAGGTTTAAGGTCTTGATCTGAGGCTGGTTCTGAGTGGCTGGTGCCTTCGCGCTCACGGCAGGACTGTCGCAAAGTAGGTACCTCCGTGACTTCCACAGACAAAGAGACTGAGGCCGAGAAATCTAACCAGCTCACCCACGCTGCCCTTGGATGGTGGCCGTGAGACGGGAACCCACAGCCTACCAGGCCCAGCCCCCAGGACACCCTCTTGTTAAGTCAGTGGCTTTGAGCCTCAGAAATGGTGCAGAATGCAGCCCACGCAGGGTCTTTGACCCCGGTCTGGTGCTCGGAAGACATGCACCTGCTTCTACCCCCACCCCACCCCCCGCTGCGAGGCCCTGAGATTCTTGTGATGTCTGAAGAAGGGTGCTGCATTTTCATGTTGCACTGGGCCCTGAATGGTGAAGCTGAGTGATACGGTTTGGCTCCGTGCCCCACCCAAATCTCATCTCAGATTATAACCCCCATGTATCAAGGGAGAGACCAGCTGGAGGCGGGGGCCGTTCCCCCATGTTCTCCTGGTAGTGAGCAAGTTCTCACAAGATCTGTTTGTTGTTGTTGTTGTTGATGCTGTTTTTTAAGACAGAGTTTCGCTCTTGTTGCCCAGGCTGGAGCACAGTGGCACGGTCTCGGCTCACCGTAACCTCCACCTCCCAGGTTCAAGCAATTCTCCTGCCTCAGCCTCCCGAGTAGCTGGGACTACAGGCACCCGCCACCACACCCGGCTAATTTTTTTGTATTTTTAGTAGAGACGGGGTTTCACCGTGTTAGCCAGGATGGTCTCGATCTCCTGACCTCGTGATCCGCCCGCCTCGGCCTCCCAAAGTGCTGGGATTACAGGCGTGAGCCACCGTGCCCAGCTATTTTAAAGTTTTGTACTTTGTTCGTTATGGACTTTTTTTTTTTACACGAATTCTGATGTTTTAAAAATATAGAATGAAAATACTATTTATCATGACCTGGGCATAGTGGCTCATGCCTGTAATCCCAGTAGTTTGAGAGACCAAAGCAGGCAGATTGCTTGAGGCCGGGAGTTGGAGACCAGCCTGGGAAACATGGGGAAGACCCTGTCTCTACAAAAAATACAAAAAGTAGCTGGGTGTGGTGGTGCACACCTGTGGTCCCAGGTACTCAGGAGGCTCAGGCAGGAGGATTGCTTGGGCCCAGGAGGTGCAGGTTGCAGTGAGCTGAGACGGAGCCACCACGCTCCAGCCGGGCAATCCTCCTCCCTGTCAGTCTCCGCGCCGCGAAGCCTCTGACCAGTGTCCCTCCTGCTCCTCCCAGCAGGCCTGGTTTAGCCCCAGTGCTCAGCCCACCGTCCCCCAGAACCCCAGACACCGCCTAGCCCTGGGATGGAGACTCCTCGGACAGGGCACCACCTGGGAACTGTGTTTCCAGGAGCCCTTGGACGACTTCAGTGTGCTCTGCCGAGGCCTAGAAAGGCCCCGGTTCTAAGAACATGTCCAGCTGCTTGGCCTGAAGTCTGTAGCTGCAGTGTGGGTCCCTGTGACGCTGGAGGGCTGCAGGGCGGGGTGCAGACCCCTCAGCGTTAGAGCAGGCATCAGGGGCACACCTGGGCTGTGCAGCAGCTTCCTGAAACGCCCAGATGTTTTCCCCTACGGCAAGCCACGTGAGATGATTTTTATGCGGAAAGAGGTGCTTCATGAGAATGCACTACTTGAATGACTGTTTTCTTGCTTGCAGATCTAGGCCCCGGGTCCTGAGGGAGGTGGTAGTAATAAATAACAGCAGCAGCACAGCGAGGGCTGACAGCCACTCACCATCATCCTGTGCTGGGCCCGCTCTCAGCCTGCTGTCCTTTCATCTGGGCTCTAGCCCCACCCCTGGGTCTGGGTTCCCAGCTTCTTACTATGTCTCCGCCTAGCCCAGACAGCAACGCCCAGTCACTGGGTGTCCGGCCTTCCATCCCACCCACGCTGGCAGGGAATGTGCTGGTTACTTATTGAACATGGGAAGCTATAAACAGGACAACGGCCAGCTATCATCACTTCCACCCAACGCCTCTGGTGCCTCTTCTGGCAGGCAGAGCGACTCCTCACAGCCTGAAACTCGTCCTCCTGCACGGGCCGGCCAGGCCAGCACAGAGGCACCAGGGCAGCAGTGCACGCAGGTCCCCGGGGACCCCGCCATGTGGACCAGATGGTGGCTCTGGCCCCTTGTGGCCGTCTGCACTGCAGACTTCTTTCGGGACGAGGCAGAGAGGATCATGAGGGACTCCCCTGTCATTGATGGGTGAGTGCCCACCTAAGCCAGGTGCTTAGGGAACCAGGACTGGGAACTGGGGCTGGGGGAGCCGGGGCTGGGGGAGCCAGGGCTGGGGAGCCGGGCTGGGAGCCAGGGCTGGGAGCCGGGGGTGTGCCCTTGGCTTGGGGCTCAGCCTCTGCGATGGTACTGGGGCCCTTGCCTTTCCTGGCCCCTGCTTCTTTGTGGGGTCTCTCAGGGCCCCCAAAGACTTCAACAGATGAAGGTCTGCAGGGTCAGGGCAGGAGGGAGGCAAGGCCCCAGCTCCCTCGCCCTGAAGCTCAGCGTGAGCTCTGCGCCTGGGGACGCTGAGGCCCTGCGCCCCGTCTCTCCCTGTGCCTCAGCTTCTCCCGAAAGCTGCAGACGTGGGTAGTGACCTACAGGCCCTCTCAGCCAGCATCTTTTTGGCCATCTTCCCACTCCCCTTGGCCTGCCTTCTCCCGGGGGAGGCCCGTGCGGTTCAGCCCCTGTCTGTGCTGCCCTGAGTGCCCGCCTGGCCCCACCCCGACCTCACTGGGGTGCTGGGGTCACCTGCTTCTCTCCTGGTCTCTGCAGGGTGGAGATTCCCACTGCCCAGGAATCTGACCCTCCTCCCCGCCTCTTCCTGGCCCAATGCCCCGACACTGGGTCTCCATGGAGGCCTCCTGCTCCCAGGCTCCAGATCGGGGTCCACACTGGCTCCGCGTTGGGGTGGGAGGGTCACTGAGAGTTCGCCCTGTGCCTGGCACGGTGTCTCCTCCTGGCACGGTGTCTCCTCCTGGAAGATGCCTCTGGACTTTGCTGGGGAAACACTCTGAACAAAGCAGGGAAACCTGACGTCTTGTTGTGTAAGAACTTCAGGGAACCGGCCAGGCTGGGCGGCTCACGCCTGTCATCCCAGCACTTTGGGAGGCCCAGGCGGGCAGATCACCTGAGGTCAGGAGCTCAAGACCATCCTGGCCAACATGGCAAAACCTCCTCTCTACTAAAAATACAAAAAACTAGCCGGGCGTGGTGGCGGGCGCCTGTAGTCCCAGCTACTCAGGAGGCTGAGGGAGGAGAATCACTTGAACTTGGGAGGCGGAGGCTGCAGCGAGCCGAGATCGGGCCACCGCACTCCAGCCTGGGCTACAGAGCGAGACTCCGTCTCAAATTTAAAACACTTAAGGGAGCAGAGGCAGCTCCAGAAAGGGAGCCGAGGGTGGTCCCTTGCATCCTCATGGTTTAAAATGGTCACGCCAGCTCCAGCCTTCACATCTGTACGCCGGCCAGCAGGGAGGAAGGAGAGATAAAGAAGGGAAAAAGGACAAGCAGCAGGTTGACTGTCAGGGTCAGGTTTTGTTTTGAGACAGAGTCTCTGTCGCCTGTCACCCAGGCTAGAGTGCAATGGTACGATCTGGGCTCACTACAACCTCCACCTCCCAGGTTGAAGTGATTCTCCTGCTTCAGCCTCCCGAGTAGCTGGGATTACAGGTGCCCGCCA